AGTGCTGTGAATATAATGTTCTTTGATGTCGGCCAGCAATAACAGAAATGTATATAGCAGACATGAGGGTGATCTTGATTCTTTAAAAGAAAAATAGTGGCTTAAAATGTGTGTTGGGCACCACAGGCATCTAAAGGTTATGATCTTCGCATATGCGCATTCATGTATATACATTATGAAGTGGGGGCATATCAGGGTATCATTATTATGTCCCCTGATTTGATCCTAGATAGTGCCATCTATGCCCTGTTGATCGGCATGATAAAAACTCGTTTCATGATTCTCAACCTCGACATCCACTTCCATACCATTGGTCTGCTCAACAATGTTATTTTTACTTTTTATTATGCGCGCATCAAACATAAGTTTGTATATATATAAATGAGCAGGAAGGAATAATTCAATTTATGTTTTCCCTCATCTTTATTCTGCAATTTTTGTACTTTTAAAGAACATTTTAACTATATATTATTTTTATCATGGTTAAAAACACCTTTTTTGTTTACGGCATCTTGACATTGCTTAATCTGTGGGCCGCGTTTCTCTACTTTGCGTCGACCAATGCTGCTAATGATGGAATTTCTAGAGCTCAGCTTAACAAGATGAATACAACGACTGCACTGACCGCTGAGGAGTACACATTCTATAGAATAGTTTGGGGCAGCGCCCTATTTACTATAGGTGCTGTTTTTGGTATTTGTTTTGCCAAGATTAAAAGTGACACGGACGTTGTTTGCAGACCAAACAAAGGCAAAATTGAACTTTGCGCCTAGTTTAATGCGGTTTGTTTTTTATAACTATTTTTTAGTTTACTATTGTAAAAATATAATGTTATTTATTATCTAAACATGCTGGAAGTAATGTTGCGCAGCCGAAGGACATGGATGTGAATGATGAGGTTGAAAACCTTGGAACAGATTTCCATCCGCATGCCGATAGATCGAATATGGACTAGATCATGGGTGATCAAATCAGGTGCCAATATTGACATCCAGACACACTCCATTTTGCAATCCATGCAAATGAGCGTACACACGCAAAGACCACAACAATAACATCAGAAACCCGGGCTACTTTCATAAAAACCAGTTCTTGTCAACGGGGTGCACAACTGGCGGAGTGCACAACAAAAACGATGAGACATATAAAACGAGGTCGACACTGGTAGCACTTTAAAAAATTAGTATTAAAAACAATTTATAATAATACACCATCTTTCTAACACTACTACAGTAGTAGTCACACACCCCTCCTCATCACAATAGCACTAATAAAAAAATGTTTGAAAATTAAAATGTTAGAACAATAAATAAATATTTAATTTATTGGATTGAACAAATTGACTCGTAGTGTTTTACATTCTTCATAACACTACTCTATTTTCTATAGTGATATAATATTGTGTTCCGCCGTCTAATTTTTTACAACACTCTTAACTGAAATTTCATTCCAATAGCAATAAAATTTAATACTAGTTAGTAAATTGTTGATAATTTATATAGCAATTTGTAAATCTAAACTAGATTATATTAATCAAAAATATTAATACAAAAAACGTAACTATTGTTGGAGTTTTGGACAAAGACTTTAATTTTACATCTACTGTCATTAGGAGACTAATGATGGTTGAGCTTCCAAGCAATAATATTTTTCTTGATAATATGAAAGAATAAAAATTAGCAAGTCTTGTTGCGCTTGGATGTCAAACCGGTCTTTGGATTAGACTATCTTTTGACTGCAGCTTTTAGCTTGACAGCTGTTTTTGAATTATTTGGCAGTGTATAAATTTTTTAGCAATTCCAGCAAAAGACAGGTGTGGACAACAATCCAATAGAAATAGTGTTTTGTTCCAAACCTTTTAATATATAATGTGTAATATTAGTCAAAAGTGATTTAATTTGATTTTGCATAAAATATTGTAAAAGACAAAATTCTATAGTACAAAAAATACTTTAAAGGCTTATTTTTAAATAAAAAGCTAAAATAAATAGTAGTCATTTGCCTTTTATATACGTTTTTTTGTGCCAAAATAAAAGATAGTAAACGTAAAAATAAACCCATGTAATAATTTTGTTTTTAACACATTTTTATTCAAGCACTAATTAATATTATACTTTAAATTTTTTAACAAGCACACGTTTATAATGAGCAAGCTAGTCAACATTATCATTAAAAACAAAGAAAAAAAGGAACAGGGTATATGTCTTACTAATTGGAGCAAAGTCAATGTTAAATATCATGTCAATCTCCTGGGAAAATGTTACGAAGATCACTGTTTTTATGATTTGAAAAACAAGGAAGTATTGAAAATATGTTTGCAAGACTGAAAACATCAACAATATAGAATTTGCAGTGGAGACTGAAAAAGTAAATGTGCGCATATATATTAAAGATCTCACTCTTTGGAATTACATATTGTCTGTTGTAATGGGAGCAAAGGCAACAGTAAAAAAAGACCAAATTAATTTAAAGTATCCACTTAAAACCCTTGATTATAACCTAGAATGCAATGCAATACAACTTTGTAATACCGATATATTCTGCAATGTTTCAAAAGCAACAAGCCCGATTTTTAAAATGGTATACCCTTCTAATGACCACAAATTTATATCACAAAAACAAATATTTCAAAACAGCAAGCTCACTTATTTGTGTATTATATCTTAAAATGTGATTTAATACAAATATGATTTTACTTGTTATATATCAATAAAAACCATTATTTTCTATTAGTTAGTTGATATGACTTACTAAAATGTGCTTACAAGAAACGTCTTTAATCTAGATATTCCGACCAACTGCTATGGCAACCCCCAAAAAATACGTACAATATTAGGTTCAAGCAATGGGTCAACAAAAATAATCAATTATTACAAATACCAAGCCGCAGGATTGCTTTCCAAAATTATCCAAGATTCAATTGTCAAAAAAAACGCTTGAAACAAAGACATGGCTTTATATTTAACGTATTTCTTATGTTTGATGGGCTATCCAATAACGAGAATTTTCAGAATAAATTCCGAAAACCTTCTTTATTCAACACCATATATATTTTTTATTTAAAAAACCATGGTTGAAATCTACGGCCAAACACTGCTATGTTTTTTATTCAGCTAAAGAGTATATTTCAATTCAACTAATTGTTTATTATTTAAATTGATGATTTTTTTAATTAAATTTGCTTTTAGGCAACTCCTTACAGCTGGCCGCAGTCAACAATAGCAACCTTCTTGGTGATTCTGCCCGTGTTCGAGCCAAGAGCCTCAATCTTCTTGACAACATCAAGGCCCTCAGTAACCTTGCCAAACACGACGTGCTTGCCGTCAAGCCACGGGCAAGGAACCGTGGTGAGGAAGAACTGGGAGCCGTTAGTGTTAGGACCAGCATTAGCCATCGACAAAAGTCCAGGCTCAGTGTGCTTGAGGATAAAGTTCTCGTCAGCAAACTTCTCGCCATAGATCGACTTGCCACCAGTGCCGTTGTGGTTGGTAAAGTCACCGCCCTGGAGCATGAACTGGGGAATCACGCGGTGGAATGAGCTACCCTTGTAGCCAAACCCATGCTCACCGGTGCACAGATCGTGGAAGTTCTTGGCGGTCCTGGGACTGTGTTGGCAAAAAGCTCCATTTCGATGCGGCCAGCAGGCATATAATCAATAGCAATGTCAAAGAAGACCTTGGAGCTAGAAGCGGAGGAGGACATGTTTTAGATTTTAGACTAGCCTTGTTTAATAAAGTTTATAAAAATAAGGGAGAAAAAGGAGTAAAGAAGAAAATAATGATGTTAGAGTTTGAGCTTGGGACGCGTGGCCACCTTTTTTTAGGACCAGGGGAAAGGGACAAAATTATGTAGTAACTCAGATATCAGGCCAACAAACAAAATGAAAACAAGCAATTTCTGATTCCTTCGTTTCATATAAACCAAAACCATTTTCAAAGCCACATTCCATGATCAAGAACAAAATCTATGGTTGAATCTTAATATTTGTTGGTCTGATCAATTACCAATCATTGATCTAAATATTTTATATTTTATATTTAAATAACTAAAGTTAAATATAAATAAAAATAGAGATGTTAGTTGGTTTATATATGTTCATATATGCGTGCAAATCAAATCAATTTGTTTCGATTCAATCTGTGGGATTATTATGTCCATTAATATTACAATTAAAGTTTGGGAATACGCAGGCGTCGGCTGATCATCAGCGTGCCGCTGACGGCATACATGAGCACCAACGGATGAAGTTCATACCCGGGGAAAAGCGAGACCTCTCCGCCCCACACATTATCGGGAGTAAACGCCTGACTGAACGACGCAAACGGGCCCTCATGCTGGTATTCGGGGTTAGCAAAGCGCCAGAACTTGCCGTTAAACACGCCATACGCAAGCACACCGACAATGACCAGCGTGGTTGGTATAGGCGTGCCCTCAAAAAACTTGATCTTGCCATTGAAATCAGTTGGCATAGCAGCTACTGTGGCGTTGAACCTGGCCAAGCGAGCCAGTCCGCAGCACACGAAATACGTGAGTACAACCAAATCGAGCATCTTTTGGAATCCGCAGGCAAAGCCCAGAACTGCAGGCGCAATACCAAAGGAACAAAAATCGGCCAAGGAGTCGAGTTCCTGGCCTAATATACTGGTCGACTGGCGCCAGCGGGCAACGCGGCCGTCGAGGAAGTCGAAAAACACACCGGCCGGAATGCACCAGAAGGAGGTGAAGAGAAAGTCAGTGTTTTGTGTGAGCAGCGCTTTCATTGCAAACATGAGGCTGAGGCAGCCGCAGACGGCATTTCCGAGGGTGACAAAGTCGGCCAGCTGGAATGAGCGCACCATTGAGAAGTGCGAGGGAAGCGACGGGTCGCTGGTCTTCCGCTTCGGCCTGCGAGGTGACATTATTTTTATTGTTATATTTCGTGAACGAGAGAAATGAGCGAGAGTAAAGGTGGAAATTACAAAAAAAAGTAGTTTAGAAAATATGGAGAAAGACAAGGAAAGAGCACTCGCAAAAACAATCTTAGCTATAGTGGCCGAAAGACTATTGCAAAAAGGGGGGATAAGGGGAGAGCCCAAATCGCACAAACCCTTTCATTATCCGCGATCAGGCGCCAAAAATGGCCATCATCAGGTCGCGCAGCTTGCGCACGTCATACGCGTTTTCCTCTTGCACGTACGAAAAGGTGGTCAGCGCGCCCTGCAGCGTCGACGACACGTTCTGGTCGCCACGGATGGCCTGGATGCTGCGCGCAAGGATATCAGACAGCCGCGCAATGCAGACTTCCCACAGCGTATCGACGTCGGCGCGCGAGCAGAAGTCCGGGGCAGACGCCAAAATGCTATGCTCGACAACGAAAAAACCAATTATGTCGAACAGCATGGCGTCAAAGGACGCCAGCTGGCCGGTGACAAACTGCACGGGCGAGTCCAGGATCAGGCTGAGCTGGTTGCTGCGGTCCTCGGTAAAGCTGCGGCGGAACTCGGCACGGCGGCCAAGCTTCTCATTGATGTGCAGGCACTGGTAGAGAGGCATCAGCTCGACGGCCACGGGCTCGTCGCGGTCAAACTCCTCATCAAGGACAAACTGGACGGCCGGGCTGACCAAGTGGCGCTCGGTGGCAGTGGCGGC